TTGAAGGTGATGAATTTGTCTGCAGTTCTAGAGTTTTCAGGTAGGGTGTTCCAGATTTTAGGGCCTTTGACATACATTGAATTTTTGTAAAGGTTTAGTCGGACACGGGGAATGTCATAGAGATGTTTGTGTCTGGTGTTATGCCTGTGGGTTCTGTCACAACTATCAAGAAAGCATTTTAGGTCAAGGTTAATATTGGAATTTAAGGTCCTGAAGATGTAGATTGCACAGTAGTAAGTGTGGATGTACTGAACAGGGAGTAAGTTTAGATCTATGAAGAGTGGGGGGGGGGTGTGTTGCCAGGGATGGAATTTAGTGATTATTCTTACTGCAGCTTTTTGTTGGATTATTATTGGCTTTAGGTGTGTTGCTGCAGTTGATCCCCAAGCACAAATAGCATAGGTGAGGTATGAATAAATAAGTGAGTGGTATAGTGTGAGAAGGGCATTTTGCGGCATGTAGTATCGTATCTTGGAGAGGATCCCAACCGTTTTGGATACTTTTTTGGTTACGTGTTGGATATGGGTGCTGAAATTCAGGTTGTTGTCGAGGTATAGGCCTAGGAATTTGCCCTCATTATGTCTGGCAATTAGAGTGTTGTCGAACTTAATGTTAATTTGCGCAACTCCTGCTCTGCTACCAAGCATAATGTAGTAGGTTTTGTCAGTGTTAAGCATAAGTTTATTGGCTGTCATCCAAGTAGATATTTTGAACAGCTCCTCGTTAACAATGGTGTTGAAGGTGGCAAGATTAGGGTGAGAGATGACATAAGTCGTGTCGTCAGCAAAGAGAATGGGGTTCAGGTGTTGGGATACGTTTGGAAGATCATTGATGTAAAGGAGGAAGAGCAAAGGATCAAAGACACTTCCCTGCAGAACTCCAGTATCAAGTGGCCATGTTGTTGATGCTGTCTTTAATGGTGACAAGATTTGAAATATGCAAGCGCATGGCCTCTTATACCGTAATGGTCAAGTTTGTGGAGTAGGATGCAGTGGTCTACTGTGTCAAAAGCTTTTCTTTGGTCAATAAAAATTCCTAGTGGATATTCCTTATTTTCCAATGCTGTGTAAAGCAGATCTAGCATTTTTATAATTGCATCATTAGTGCTTTTATTTTTTCTGAATCCAAATTGGCAGGGGTTGAGTATGTTTTGTGCCGTTATAAATGAATATAGTCTCCTGTGCACGAGTTTCTCAAAGATTTTGGATAGCAATGGTAAGTTTGATATTGGCCTATAGTTGTTTAAATCTGTAGGGTCACCACCTTTATGTATTGGTGTAACCCTTGCTGTCTTGAGTAGTTTCGGGAAGGTGCTAGTTTCTAGTGACTTGTTAAAAAGTAATGAAATAGCATGCGAAAGGACATGGGCCGCTCGCTTGTACAATAATGGTAGGACATGAGACAGATTCCCCGAGTTATTTTTAAGTGACTTTATAATCTTGGTGACTTCCGTGGGCTCAGTTGGTACAAGATAGAAGGAATTTGGGAAATTTCCATCTAGATAGTCCCTGGCATGGGCATTGGTATGTGGGATTTTATTGGCGAGATTAGATCCTATGGTTGAGAAGAAGTCGTTTATCTTGTTAGCTGTCAGTGGGATGCAGTGGTGTTTCATTAGGTTTAGTTAGGACAATATTCTTGTTTTTTTTCAGTTTGTGGGTCCCTAGAATCTGAGAGAGTGTTTTCCAGGTCTTTTTTATATCTCCTCTTGTGTCAGTGAATCTGCTGGAGTAGTATAGTTGTTTGGCTTTCTTTATTACTTTGGTGAGAACTGATGAATAGTGTTTAAGAATATCTTTGTTTATTAAGCCCTGTCTATATTGGTTTTCATATTGGTGTTTCTTATCAATGGATTTCAGAATGGTGCTGGTTAGCCATGGGCAACCAAGCCGTTTGTTCGTGATCTGTTTCGTTTTTATAGGACAGTATTTGTTGTATAGTCTAAGTAATTCGTTAAGAAAAATGTCTGTCCAGTCATCAATACCATTGGCCTTGGAGAATTCTGTAGGCCAGTCAACAGTCTCTAGGTCAGCTGTGAACTTCCTTATTGAGGCCTCATCATGGAGTCTAAATGAGACTTTGTTGTATTCAAGTGGTGGTTTACTAATGTTTGTCAAGAGGAAGGTAGGGTAGTGGTCTGTAGTGCTATCTATGATTATCCCTGATTTAAGGGGGGCTAGTATATTGGTCCATATGTGGTCTATTATGGTTGCACTTGTCTCAGTGAGCCTGGTTGCGACCCACAACTGTCGACTAACACCCAGGTGAACAGGAAAAATGCCTGGAACTAGTGCTCATATTGGTGAATTTAAGGCCAGCAAAGGTTGGTTTGAGAGATTTAAGAATTGTAGTGGCATAGACAGTGCGATAAGGCATGGTGAAGCTGAAAAATTCCAACCCCAACAAGTGTTCTATTGTGACGAAACAGGCCTGTTTTGGAAGAAAATGCCAAACAGGACCTGCATTACTCAGGAGGAAAAGGCACTCCCAGGACACAAGCCTGTGAAAGACATACTAATTCTCATGTTTTGTTGTAATGCTAGTGGGGATTGCAAAGTGAAGCCTTTACTCGTGTATCACTCTGAAAATCCCAGAGTGTTCAAGAAAAAAAATGTCTCATCACTCATCAGTACTCTTCAATAAAGGCAAGTGTCATTTTAGCATTTATTTATATAGTTATTGTGCATGTCTCTTTGTTTTCTTTGTAGGGAAATGTATATTTCATGAAAAAAAAAAATTAATACTTTTGGCTGTCTGGAATGGATTAATTGGATTTTCATTATTTATTATGGGGAAAATTAATTCGGCTAACGATGAGCTCTCAGGAATAGATTAATATTGTTAGGCGAGGGTCCACTGTACATGCATTTTTAAGCCTAGCTCTATTGCTCACTATAAATATGATAGTGTAAACATGTTATCAGGCTTTTAAGTGCATTTGAAAGTGAAAACAGGCTGTGTTTCACTTTACAGCAGTAGCCTGGAACCTAACTTGCTGTGCAGTTGGGGCCCTCCTGTATCTACACAAATACTGACAATATTTATAAATACAGTGGAACCTTGATTTTTGTTTTTAATTGGCTCCAGAGAGTTGGACGAAAACCAAATTCGACGAAAGCTAAAGCAACGTTTCCCATAAGAAATAATGTAAATCCAATTAATCCTTTCTAGACACCCAAAAGTATTAACAAAAAATACATTTCATAGAGAATAAATATAGTTTTACATACAGAAAACAATGAGAAATAAATATAAATGACTAATTTTAATGAATAAATTAACGTTTAAATCACTATTACATACCTTTATTGAAGACTCTGGTTGGCGTATGGGAAATGCGAGGAGGGAAGAGGGAGGAGAATTTATTGTTTAGAAGGGGAATCCCCTTCCATAAGGACTTCAGGTATCAAAGCCGTGTCTCAGGCTACTTCCCTTCTTTGTCTTTTTACAGGCACTAGGACCAGCTTGAGAGTCACTGCACCTATCGCACAAAAAATCTGTCCAGAGAGCTCTGTTTCTGGCGTCTCCAGGATTTGCCTAAAATGGGACAAGGGATTGTCACTGAACATGTTGCAGACACGACTTGCAACAATTTTGTTAGGTTGATAATTCTCCACAAAACTTTGCACCTTACTCCACTTTGCACAAATGTCCTTAATCACTGAAGAAGGTACATTCTCCCTTCTCTCTTCCTTCTCTGAAGCAATTTCCTCAGCTGCAAGCTGTTGATGTTCCAGTTGATGGTCTTGCAGCTCTTCAGTGGTTAGCTCTTCCCTGTGGTCCTCCACCAACACTTCCACATCCTGGCCACTCACATCCAACCCCTTGGACTTCCCCAATGCCACAGTAGATTCCACAACAGGCATAGGGTCGTCAGGGTCAGCCTCAAACCCTTCAAACTCCTTCTCTTGGACACATTCTGGCCACAATTTTTTCCAAGCAGAGTTCATCGTCCTGGAAGTCACTTCCTGCCAAGTCTTATCTGTAAGGCTTGTGCAATTGAGGATATTGAAGTGATTCCTCCAGAACTCTGAGGGTCAATTCAGTGTCCGAGGTCACTTCAAAGCACCTTTGAAACGTTGCTTTGGTGTAGAGTTTTTTGAAGTTTGAAATGACCTGCTGGTCCATGGGCTGGATGAGAGGAGTGGTATTAGGGGGCAAGAACTTCGCTGTAATGAAACTAAACTCCTCAAACAATTGGTCTTGCAAGTCTGGAGGATGAGCAGGAGCATTGTCCATTACCAGGAGGCACTTAAGTGGCAATTTATTTTCCAGGAGGTATTTCTTCACACTCGGTCCAAACACTTCATTGACTCACTCAATGAAAAGTAGCCTTGTGACCCATACTTTATTGTTAGCCTTCCACATCACACACAATTTACTCTTCATGACATTGTTTCTCTTGAACACTTGGGGATTTTCAGTGTGATACACCAGTAAAGGCTTCACTTTGAAATCCTCACTAGCATTGCCACAGAACAAGAGAGTTTGCCTATCCTTCATAGGCCTGTGTCCTGGCAGTGCCTTTTCCTCTTGCGAGATCGACCACACGTACGCCACTTCCGTATTTTTCTATAAGTTCTTTCTTGAATTCTATCGTGTTTCTCACCTTTATATCAAAGAGCTGGCACTGGGAACTTTCTTTGGCTCTATGGTGGCTTATTTAGCAGTTGTACTCAATAAACGAGCTCAAAAAAAAATTAGATTATTACGAAATGTTTCGTATGAATGTGCAAAGTAATGTTTACTCTGCAAGAAACAAAACCACAATGATGCTTTGTGTGGGTGTGCGCAGGCGTGGGCAGGCGGATGCGGTGGGGATGGCCAACGAATACCAAGGTGACAAATGAAACCTAGGTCAATATTTTGATGAAAAAAGTCATCAAAAACCAAATTCGACGATAATCAGGGTAAATGAAAGCCAAGGTTCCACTGTACCGTTTAAACAATGTTGTATCGGAATTAGTTTTATTTTGTGTTATTGATGTGTTATGTTTCAGCACTAACTGATGAAGACATAAAAGCCATCGTCAGCCTCAGCAAAGACGAGCGTATTGCTGAAAGGATTGTGGCCTCAGTAGCTCCATCTATATATGGTCACCAAGACATTAAGAGAGCTCTCGCTCTCTCACTCTTTGGTGGAGAAACAAAAAATCCAGGCAAGTGTTTTTGTAGTTGTTGCAATGTTACTTTTTTTTTTTTTTTTTTTCACTTACCCTCATTATGTAAGGAAAGCACACATTTTAGGTAAATATTCAAATGTACGACTAATGTGACATTTTAATGTGGCAACATTTCACTCTCCTGGAGCTTTGTCAAGCTGTTACAAACAGAGGATGTATATATACAAGTGGTCCTCGACTTACGATGGGGTTACATTGCAAGTTGGTTATGAACATATGATAAATAAAAGGATAAATAAATGTCACTGAATAGGTAAAGAAATAAATACTGTAACTAAATACCAGTGTTGAAAAGTACATAAATGAATGAAAGTTCATCCTGTCAATAAATGTACAGTACAGCGGCGATATTTCAGTTTTATGATGGTGCTATTGTACCATCATGCAGTCAGAATGTCGCCATCGATGGTGCTATTGTACCATCATGCAGTCAGAATGTCGCCATCGATGGTGCTATTGTACCATCATGCAGTCAGAATGTCGCCATCGATGGTGCTATTGTACCATCATACAGTCAGAATGTCGCCATCGATGGTGCTATTGCACCATCGTACAGTTAAAATATTGTAAGTTGAGCCATTGTGAAGTGAGAATAATCTGTATAGGTACCAGGTGAAATGTCAGGTTAGGTAGTATATACAGCCTCTGTGTCCTTGTGTTGTTTGTAACAGCTTGACAGAGTTCCTGGAGGATGAAATGTTGTCACAATAAAATGTCAAATTAGTTGAATCTGTGTCCTCGTACCTAACATTGTCGGTAATTCTACCACCATTATTACAAAAGAAACGTTCATTAGTAGAATACACATATATGTTATCCTCTTCTGTATACATTACTAAATTTAAAAAGAGAAAATTTTGTTTTTCTTTTTAGGTCACCCTGCCTTGGTGGGATACGGCTAGTTTGTTGAGAGAAGAATAATAGGGTAAATCTTTTATTTTATGTGCAGTGAATTCCAAGTGGAGGGTAAGTGTAATATAGGAGAGGCCTTAGGATGTGACTAATGAACAGAGGAAATGTTACTTCAGGGCCTGCAGTGTTTTCATTGTTTATTTTGGACTCTATATTTTAATTGTAATTTTTTAATTTTGTGCAGAATTGACCAAATTACCGACTTCTGTGCATTTTATAGGGTAGTTTTGATAGTTAAATGGGGAGTCTTATTAATAGAACAGAAGGCATACTAGCAAAATAACCAGGAATTTGGTTGAATGGAGCAATGGAATTGGCTTAAAATAGGACTCTAAAGTGGGTGTAATCACCAATGCTTAAATTGTGCCCAGATTGCTAACCTTTCACTTGCATAATTCCATAAGCTTTCAGGCAAATTTTTATATTTTTGGTATCATTGCTTTCAAAAAAAAAAATTCTTTACCATTTTGGAAGATTTTTTTTTTTTAATGTCAATACTGTGAGCACTTTTAATGGCACTCTTCATATTTTCTTAGTTTAAATGTTCGTGTTTCAGGGCTGAAGCACAAGGTTCGTGGTGACATTAATGTACTTGCTTGTGGCGACCCTGGCACTGCTAAGTCACAGTTCCTGAAGTATGTAGAGAAGATTGCACCTCGTGCTGTCTTCACCACTGGTAAGTCACAGTTCTTGAAGTAATTATTGTTCTGTCTGCAGACTAACAATTAACCCGTAAACAGTCTGAACGTAAATATACATTCACTACCCCAGTGCCCTGAATATTTTGAAAAATAAATTTTTTTTTTATGGAAATAAAGAGCACATTTTTCTAAGTGTTACAGGATAAAAAAAAGTTAGGGTCAGTACTTAGAGATATGAAGCCGAGAAGTTGGCACTTGGCGATCACCTGAGGGAAACATGGAGTCCTGCCGCTTGCAGAAGTGTTGCCGATATACCTTTTTTTCTCTTTTTCATATTTTTATAATTTTTATGTTCAGGTAATTACAATTTATAGTAGTTCTTGTCATTTCATAACCAATCTTTGTTCTGACACTAATATTAGGTACTGAAGTTGTACTCAAATTGTCACAAACACACTGACAGGTGGACATTTACACCTACCTTGGTCATTTACTATTGTCTAGGAATATATACAAAGTATTTATAGGTCCCAGCAATGTTTTGGACACTGAGTATTTAAGGAGAAGATGGAAGGAGGAGTAGGAGGAAGAAGGAGGAAGAAGGGGGAAGGAGGAAGAAGAAGGGGGATGGAGGAGCGAAGAAGGGGAAGGGGAGAAGAAGGGGAAGGAGGAGGAGAAGAAGAAGGGGGGAAGGAGGAGGAAGAAGGGGGAAGGAGGAGGGAAGGAGGAGGGAGGAGGAGGAGGAAAGGGGGAAGGAAGGAGGGGAGGAGGAAGAAGAAAGGAGGAGGAGGAAGAAGAAAGGAGGGGAGGAGGAAGAGGGGGAGGGAGGAGGGGAGGAGGAGGAAGGAGGAGAGGAAGGGGAAGGAGGAAGGGAGGAGGAAGGAAGGGGGAGGAGGAGGAGAAGGGGAAGGAGGAGGAGGAAGGGGGAAGGAGGAGGGGAGGAAGGAAAGGGGAAGGAAGGAGGGGAGGGGAAGGGGAAGGGAGGAGGAGGAAGGGGAAGGAGGAAGGGGGAAGGGGAAGGAGGAGAGGAGGAGGAAGGGGAAGGAGGGGAAAGGGGGAGGAAGGGGAAGGAAGGGAGAGGAGGAAAAGGGGAAGGGAGGAGGAGGAGGAGGAAGGGAAGGAGGAGGAGGAAAAGGGGAAGGAGGAGGAGGGGGAGGAAGGGGAAGGAGGAGGGGAAGGGGAAGGAGGAGGAGGAAGGGGAGGAGGAGGAGGAGGAGGAAAGGGGGAAAGGAGGAGGAGGAGGAGGAAGGGAAGGAGAGGGGGAGGAGGAGGAAGGGGAAGGAGGAGGAGGGAGGAGGAGGAGGAAGGGGAAATGAGGAGGAGGAGGAGGAAGGGGAAAGGAGGAGGAGGAGGGAAAAGGGAAGGAGGGGGGGAGGGAGGAGGAGGGGGGGAGGAGGGGAGGGGAGGAGGGGGGGGAGGGAGGGGGAGGGGGGGGAGGAGGAGGAGGGGGGGGAGGAGGGAGGGGGGGGGGGGAGGGGGGGAGGGGGAGGAGGAGGGGGGAAAGGGGAGGAGGAGGAGGGGGGGAGGAGGAGGAGGAGGAAGGGGGAGGGGGAGGGGGGGGGGAGGAGGAGGGAGGGGGGAGGGAGGAGGGGGGGGAGGAGGAGGGGGGAGGGGGGGAAAGGGAGGAGGGGGAGGAGGAGGGGGGGAGGAGGAGGGGGGAGGAGGGGGAGGGGGGGAGGAGGGGGAGGGGGAGGAGGGGAGGAGGGAGGGGGAGGGAGGGGAGGGAGGGGGGGGGGAGGAGGGAGGGGAGGGAGGAGGAGGAGGGGGAGGAGGAGGGGGGGAGGGGAGGGGAGGGGGGGGAGGGGAGGAGGGAGGGAGGGGAGGGGGGGGGAGGAGGGAGGGAGGGGAGGGGGGGGGAGGGAGGGGGAGGGAGGAGGAGGGGGGGGAGGAGGAGGAGGGAAAAGGGGGGAGGGGGGAGGGAGGGGGAGGAGGAGGGGGAGGGGAGGAGGGGGGAGGGAGGAGGAGGGGGTGGGGAGGGGAGGAGGGGGGGGGAAGGGAGGGGGGAGGGGGAGGGGGGGGAGGGGGGGGGAGGGAGGAGGAGGGGAGGAGGGGGAGGAGGGGAGGGGGGAGGAGGGGAGGAGGGGAGGAGAGGGGAGGAGGGGGGAGGGAGGGGGAGGAGGGGGGAGGGGAGGGGAGGAGGGGGGAGGAGGAGGAGGAGAGGGGGGAGGGGGAGGGGAGGAGGAGGGAAGGGAAAAGGAAAGAAGGAAGAAGGAAAAAGAAAGTGGTGGTAGTAGTGTGGGGGTGGTTTTTCTTCTTCCTTGTGTATGAAAACAAGCCTCAATCCACCCTGAAAGGAATGATAAATTTAGTAATTGGTGACATTTGATGAGCATTGCGAGGGGTTTCAGTGATAAGACTTGATAGATAAGATTAGGGTGACATTTTGAGCGCGGCCCCCCACTTTTTTTTCCGGTAACAAAAAGTCTGTGTTTCAAGTTTTCTATTGTCTAGCTCGTCTCAGAGAGAGGTACAAGACTGCGTCTAGCGTTTACTCGTTCTTAACCCGAGTATGCATTTGTTGGATTTTTTTGGGGTTTTCTGGGAATTTACATATTACTTGATTTGTGTACCCGTGGGGTTTGACAGAAAGAGTTTTACAAGCATGATAAAGCGCAACTGAGTGAGCCAGGCTGCCCTCCAGCAGCCAGCAGCCTGCCTGCCTGCCCGTTGAAAAAGTATTCATCCCGAATTTTCTCTTTACTTTGGGCTAGGGTTTTAAAAACATTTTGAAAAAGGGTGTTGCACAAATATTGCCATGGGTTATTATTGAGGTTTTGTGATATTTCCTTGACCACTTATGGCCACATCCACTCAAAGCCATGAACTCGGGGTCAAAATCACTTTCCTCTTAAAATGGGAGTGTTAATACTACATGAATAAGTGAATCCCAGGTGTTTGCCACGCTGTTTGCTCTAGCTGGTGCTCATTTGAACTGGTGCTCCCACAAGGTACTAAGTGGTCCCAGATTTTTTTAATAAGGTGCACACTGAGTGTTAACGCTTTCAGGGTTTCGGCCGTATAGTACGGCTTACGCACCAGTGTCCATGACGTACTAGTATGCCTAAATTCTAACGCCCTCAAATCTAGTGAGAGAAAGCTGGTAGGCCTACATATGAAAGAATGGGTCTATGTGGTCAGTGTGCGCAATATAAAAAAAATCCTGCAGCACACAGTGCGTAATGAGAAGAAAAAAAAACTTTGACCGTGTTTTTGGAAAGCAACTTTGCACTGTATTTTCCTATGGTATTTATTGTTGTATTCTAGTTTTCCTGGTCTCATTTTATAGAATGGAAGACATATTACAGAAATTGAGATGATTTTGATTGGTTTTACAATGAAAAGTACCTTGAAATTGAGCTCAATGTAGCAGAAATGTTCGATTTTTACCAAAGTTCAAAAGTAAACAAATCATGCTATGTGTCCAATACATGTCAACTGGTGAGTCTAATATTCTTTCACAAGTGCGCTGATATTATTTATACCATTTCTACACTAATGCAGTAGTCTGCATAACAGTAAATCTATTTTTTTTGTGAGAATAAAGTTGGTTGGTAAACAGCAACCACCCAGGGAGGTACTACCGTCCTGCCAAGTGAGTGTACAACGAAAGCCTGTAATTGTTTTACATGATGGTAGGATTGCTGGTGTCTTTTGTCTGTCTCATAACATGCAAGATTTCAGGTATGTCTTGCTACTTCTACTTGCATTTAGGTCACACTACACATACATGTAAAGCATATATATACACACACACACCCCTCTGGGTTTTCTTCTATTTTCTTTCTAGTTCTTGTTCTTGTTTATTTCCTCTTACCTCCATGGGGAAGTGGAACAGAATTCTTCCTCCGTAAGCCATGCGTGTTGTAAGAGGCGACTAAAATGCCGGGAGCAAGGGGCTAGTAACCCCTTCTCCTGTATATATTACTAAATTTAAAAAGAGAAACTTTAGTTTTTTCTTTTGGGCCACCCCGCCTCGGTGGGATACGGCTGGTATGTTGAAAGAAGAAGAAAAATTCAAAGTGAAAAGCAAAAGAATGTAAGAGAAGCATGGAGACGTGACTAATGAACAGAGGAAATGTTATTTTAGTGCCAGGAATGTCTTTCTTGTTTATTCTGGACCCTATTCGGAAATTGGCATCTTTTGAAATTTGTGTGAAATTGGCAAAATTGCTAAATTCTGACCATGTATTGGATAGTTGAAATCTGTAAATGGGTGGCTTCTTGTACTCATTCGATCGAAAAAATGGAGTTCTAGCAAAATAGTTATGATTTTTGTCGACTAGTACACTGGAATTGGCCGAAAATAGGGCTCAAAGTGGGCAAAATCGCCGATGCGTAAACATCGTCGAGACCGCTAACTTCGCGAGAGCATAATTCCGTAAGTTTTCCATCAAATTTCATACTTTTGGTGTCATTATGATCGGGAAAAGATTCTCTATCTTTTCACAAGAAAAATAATAATTTTTTTTTTTAAATTTAGGGGACCCTGAGAACAAGTCTCGAAGAGGGCCTGTGGACCCTGAAAGGGTTAAGACCCATTCTGTGCTAACAAGGCATCTCAGGCCAATTGTGCCAAATTTGAAGGCAGGAAAAATAAAACGTACATTTTTTTTTTAACAAGTCGGCCATCTCCCACCGAGGCAGGGTGACCCAAAAAAAGAAAGAAAATGCTTTCATCATCATTCAACACTTTCACCTCACTCACACACAATCACTGTTTTTGCAGAGGTGCTCAGAAAACAACAGCTTAGAAGCATACAAAGCGTTTATATACGTTTTATTTTTCCTGCCTCCGTAAGCCATGCGTGTTGTAATAGGCAACTAAAATGCCGGGGGCAAGGGGCTAGTAACCCCTTCTCTTGTATAAATTACTAAATTTAAAAAGAGGAACTTTTGTTTTTCTTTTTGGGCCACCCTGCCTTGGTGGGATATGGCCGGTTTGCTGAAAAAAAAAATATATATACATTTGGGTCACTAGCGGTAAAAACATACGTTTGGACCGTTTACGGGTTAATTACTGAGGCTTGGTGGAGTGTCAATGTTTGGATAGTTTCTTTATTTTGTTCTACAAGTGTTATTGCTTTGTGTGTTCCAAGACTATGGGAGTTGTGCTAGACTCAGAGCTTGATGGAGATCTATTACAGGTACATGGCAGTTATACTAAGGTGAGTCAGGTCACTGTACTAAGAATCTTCAACACTGTCAATTTCACTCATTGTTTACAATAAATGTACATCATATAGTGCATGGAGTTAGGTATTAAAATTACAGTTGTGTTGGTAAGATATCATAAGATAATCTATATGAAGCCAGGGTATTATGAACCTATATAAATTACTAAATGCCATGAGCAAGGTGTTTGTGACCCCCTTTTCCTGTAAAAATTCTTAGTGTAAAAAGAAGAAAATCTTGGTTTCTTTTTCAGGTAACACTGCCTCAGTGGGAGATGACTGATGTGTCAAAAACCACAAAAAACTGTATTAACCCCTTCAGGGTCCAAGGCCAAAATCTGAAGTGGTGCTCCAGTGTCCAAGAAATTTTGAAAAAAAAAAAAAAAATATTTTTTCTTACAGAATTAAAGAGCATATTTTTGTGAAGGTAATAAGACAAAAAAAAAAAAATTCTGATCAGTACTTACCGAGATACAGTGCCGAGAAGTTTGTCAAAAATGATGTGGTGGCAGCAACATCGACGAATTCCACATACGCGCATTACATTATTTAGCGATTTTTTAAGTTTTTTCTTTTCTTTTCCAATTTTTTTCTATTCCTACTAACATTTGGGGCCTGAGAGACCAATATTGTATATAATGTATATATATAAATCAATGTATTGAACACAATAACCGCACTAAAGTTATTATCATATTATTGTTTACCACTGTTGTTTATTACAATAAACATGCACAAATCTTGTATAATACTAATGTTCTATCATATATTTACATATTTACAATCACTGGACATGGTTTTTAGAACTGCTGGAGCTTGTGGAAACTCTTGAAACAAGGCACCATGCACAGAGGCACCTTACATTCCTCACACATAAACCGAGTGTCTTTGCATCTTTGTTGCCGTCGTTTTGTTTGTGCACAGACGATACATCTCTTCTGAGCAAATTTCTTCTGAGTTGAAGGAAGCTGTATTATGAAATGATCACTTTCCCTCCTCAAACGCTTGGGTATATCCTGAGGAATTCGAGGACCTTGTTGTATAGCAGGTGTTGTTACCTGGTACTTCATTATGAGTTGTCTGACAACAGACAAACAAAATTCACCATACGGTGGTCTGTTGCCAGTCTATTTGGTACTTATTATATGCATTGAGCATTGAAATGTCCATGAGATGGAAGAAAAGTTTCATGTACCACTTGTAACTCTTACGAACACAGTCAACAAAACCAATCTGCATGTCACATTTGTCAACCAAGCGCATGTTTTGTGTATAATCAATCACTGTCACTGGTTTTCGAATACGTTCATTAGTCACTCGGTCAACTTTGCCACTGTCTTGCATTTCATTACAGGGAATGGTTGTCAACAATGTGACATCTCGTTTGTCATGCCACCGTAATGCCGTGATGTCATTGGCAGTAACACCTGCACGTCTTCACCACGAGCACCTGCGTTGAGCCTGGGATATGTTTACGATTAGAACGCACTGTGCACACACATTCTGTCTTGTTCACTCGCATGAAATACTGAGTAATGGGCTTGTGTACCAGTTATTGGTATATAATGTATGCCCTTACCAAGATAAGGTGCATCATGTTTCACTATGTCACCTGAGATACCCAATAACATTTTGGTATCTTTCAATGTTTTACTTCCCGTGTATACAACAATATCCAACACCAGGCCACTGTCACAGTCACAGAGTACAAACAGTTTTATACCAAAGCGTTTCCTCTTGCTCGGTATATACTGCTTGAATGACAGTCTACCTTTGAACAAAATCAAAGACTCGTCAATTACAACATTCTTGAATGGATGAAAGTATATGCTGAACTTTTGTTTGAGATACATGAAAACATTTCTAATCTTGTATAACCTGTCACTTCTGTCAGGCTTGGTTTTGTCAGAGAAGTGAAACATACGTAACAGTAAGATAAACCTGTTCACTGGTATGATTTCACTGAAGACGGGTAGAAATTAGCCGATCTGTGGACCAGTATGCTTTTATATTATGCTTATAGACATGAGGCATAAGCATTATTGTTGCAAAAAGCAAATACATTTCTGCAACAGTCGTCTCTTTCCACCTGTGTAGTCTTGACTGTGGTGATAAGATCGTATTTGCCATGGTGTACTCAAAATACTTATTACTTTCCCTGACAATAGTTTCCATCAATGGCTGGTCAAAGAATAATTCAAAGAATACCAGTTCATTGGCTGTGGTTCCAAGGGGACAAGTAGGTAGAATTCCACTTTGAGAGTCATCAAAGTGGTGAGGTTTGGGAACAAAATTGGGATTTTGCAGCCAATCCCACATAAGGTTTGCTGGTGGATATGAACTGGCGAGTCAGCAACATGGGTCCCAGCGTGGGCTGGTGAGTCACGCATGGCGGTGCCACTACCATCACCACTACCACCATCCACTGATGTCTGTGGTCTATCCATGCCAAGTGTAGCCACATCATCCTCACTATCACTACCTAAAACTGGTGTAGGGCCACGGGATGTACTCCGTCCCCTGGGCACAGCATAGGGTACACTACCCGAGCGCATGCGGCGGCGAACATACCGACGCTTCACTGGTGAATATGATTCCTCACTATCACTACTCGAATGATCGTCGAGCGCAATAAAATCACAATCCACGTCACTATCATCATCATTACTGAAGTCAGAGGCCTGGCCACGTGAAAATATTAGCTTTCTCTTGCATTGAGGAACAACTGACCGTGAGTCACGAGTGCCCACACCAGAGGTAGAAGGTTGAGGATCGTCAGGGTTTTCAGCATAATTATCGATATCCTGGTCATTCTTTTCGGTCACTAACTGATCAAAGCCGTAGAATTCGTCTTCATTTCCACTTCCATCAGTGTCAGAACTATCAGATAGGAAGAGGAGAGTCCCAATTTTCCGGGGAGTGAGAGCTGACTTGCGACGAGGCATGGTGAACAAGGGTAACTGAGCCGGCGTTCCCACAATGCTATGCGGGCGCCTAGATTTTTTGTTTATGGCGCACACCCACCACGCAGACCCGTTCTCTCACATGTAGGCCTATGAGCGCTTTCGCGCTAAATTTGACGGCACTAGAATTTTGGCGTAGATCTATGGTTTGGACACTCAACGTAAAGCCATAGATCTACGGGACTGACCCTGAAAGGGTTAATGTTTTATTGCAGGTCAGGGAGCTAGTGCTGTGGGACTGACAGCTTATGTTCAACGGTCACCAGTAACCCGAGAGTGGACACTGGAGGCTGGTGCTCTGGTCTTAGCTGATAAAGGCGTCTGTCTCATTGATGAGTTTGATAAGGTTAGTCAACGATGATGATCTAAGGCCTTGTTCAGATTTGTATGAAATATAGATGTGTTGTGTCCTCACTCTGGGGGTGAGGTTAACTTAAATTTCATCATAAACTTTTATATGATTTTTGTTCTGTATGCTATAATGCTTATAAAGTTACTGAAGGTTATACACACACACAGGTGCATATGTCTGTATATACCAAGAATGATTTTCTATGTATATATTCACTGAGAGGTGTATGTCAGTGCATATATAGTAAGAAGTGTGTATCTCAGTGCAAATACACTGGTAGCTTGCATTAATCACTAGTTTAGGTGTTAAAGTGTTCTTGACCGGTTGTAAACAGGTGACGTGCAGCCTTAATGACCTTCATGTAGTAAATTTTAGACCTAGCACACCAATTATTATGCAGTAGATAACTTTTAGATTTAATAAACCATTCATTAAGTTAGTGACTGAATCTTCATATTCCAGCTTCTACCTTCAAAAAACTCTTGGTCCAAGGAATTGAAGCTACATACCTCCTTCTTAGATTAAAACTGATTATCCTTAGATGAAACATGATTATCCTTGCATTAAATCTGTTAATACTTCATGCTCCCCATAAATGTAATGCTACTAATGTTCTGTCAGATGAACGATGCTGACCGCACCAGCATCCACGAAGCTATGGAACAACAAAGCATCTCCATCTCCAAGGCTGGTATTGTCACATCTCTGCAGGCTCGCTGTGCTGTTATTGCTGCTGCTAACCCAATTGGTGGGAGATACGACCCTTCAATGACCTTCGCAGAAAATGTAAGTGTCACTCTAGGAGGTACTCATGGCTTCTCAAATGAGCATCTAATAGAAATCTGTTCACTGTTTTGCACTGACAGGATTGATGATGTTTTCTGTCTTACCAGCGCTTAACCCTTAAACTGTCGAAACGTAGATCTACATTTTCACTCCCAGCTCTCCAAATATTTTGAAAAAAAAAAAAAAAAAAAAAAATTAAATTAAAAAGGGCAATTTTATCTGTGTAATAAGACAAAAAATATAATTTAGAATCGGTACTTACCAAGATATAAGATCGCGAAGTTGTTGCTGGATGCTCACTGATGGCAACATCGAGTCCTGCCCCTTGCAGAAGTGTTGCCAATATACCTGTTTTTCTCGTTTTTATTTTAATTTATATAATTTTTATGTCTTGATAATTACAATTTATAGTAGTTCTTGTGATTTCATAGCCAATCTTTGTTCTGACACTAATATTGGGTACTGAAATAGTACTCAGATAGTCACAAACACACTGGCAGGCAAACATTTTCACTTGTATGGTCATTTACTATTATCTAAAAATATATAGGAAGTATTTATAGGTCTCAGCAATGTTTTAGACATGCTGGAGTATACAGTAGGCCCCCAAGTTTTGTGATTAATCCGTTCCAGAGAGTCTGCCAAAAGTTGGAATTCACGAATGTTGAAACCATTTTCCTTATTAGAAATAATGTAAATCCAATTAATCCGTTCCAGACACCCAAAAGTATTGACAAAATTATTTTTTTATAGATTTAATGTAGATTTATATATAGAAAAGAATGAGAAATAAAGTATAAAACATTAATACCATCACACTTACCTTTATTGAAGATTCTTGTTGGTGTCTGGAAGACAGGAGGAAGGGAGAGAATGGAAAAGTTACACTATTGTTTGGAAGGGGAATACCCTTCCATAAAGAGAGCTCTTACAGCTCTACCCTCTACCACAATCACTACCACCCTCTTCCACCATCACTACCACCCTCTTCCACCATCACTACCACCCTCTACCACCATCACTACCACCATCACTACCACCCTCTATCCACCATCACTGCCACCCTCTACTACCATCACTGCCACCCTCTACCACTATTTTTCTACAAACTTTTTCTTTAATTCTATCGTGTTTCTCGCCTTCTTTACTGAAGGGTTGGCACTAGAGGCTTTCTTTGGGCCCATGGTGGCTTATTTAGCAGTTTCAAGCACAAAAAACAATGGATTATTACAAAATGTATCATATGAATGCGTGGGGTGATGGTCGCTCGCCCAGAAACAATGCCACACTGACTCTCTGAATGGTGGTGTGTGAGAGCTTTTGTGTGCGCCTGGCTGCTGGGAGGCCGCTCGGACACGAGGCTCATGAAACTTGGGGATCCACTGTATGTGAAACTCCTTGAAGCACAATGTTAAGACGAGTATCACTAAACTGCCAACAGTGCAGCGACACTTGATGAACATGTGCTGCTCCAGGGAACCCTGGCTATATTTGTTTTCACTGTTACACACAAACATCTCTGTCTAGCTCTGCTTATCTGTCTTTGTCTTTGCCTGTGTGTGTCTGTTTTTCCATCTGCTTGTCTCTCTATCTCAGAGCGGCTCATAAACCAACAGGTATTACACATGATGCAGAGTTGTCATGTTTGATTCCTGATCAAGTGAAAATGAGTATTACTTGCCAGTCATACTTATTATGTCTTGTATCTACATGCACTGTATGGTACTGCCTGGAATTTTTGGGTTATCCTAGGTAATTTAAACTATGTATAATTGTACTTATGTATACCTGTGAGAGAGATGGATATATAGACAGATATATAGACACAGATATATAGACACAGATAGACAGATATATAGACAGATGTATAGACAGACAAATGTATAGACAGACAAATGTATAGACAGACAGATGTATATACAGATGTATAGACACAGATGTATAGACACAGATGTATAGACAGACATGTATATACAGATGTATAGACAGACAGATGTATAGACAGACAGATGTATAGACACAGATGTATAGACACAGACCTAGGATTGCATTTTCTTGGACTGCAAGAAGGCGTTTGACACAGTTCCACACAAGAGATTGGTGCAAAAACTGGAGGACCAAGCAGGGATAACAGGGAAGGCACTACAATGGATCAGGGAATACTTGTCAGGAAGACAGCAGCGAGTCATGGTACGTGGCGAGGTGTCAGAGTGGGCACCTGTGACCAGCGGGGTCCCGCAAGGGTCAGTCCTAGGACCAGTGCTGTTTCTGGTATTTGTGAACGACATGACGGAAGGAATAGACTCTGAGGTGTCCCTGTTTGCAGATGACGTGAAGTTGATGAGAAGAATACACTCGATCGAAGACCAGGCAGAACTACAAAGGGATCTGGACAGGCTGCAGACTGGTCCAGCAATTGGCTCCTGGAGTTCAATCCCACCAAGTGCAAAGTCATGAAGATTGGGGAAGGGCAAAGAAGGCCGCAGATGGAGTACAGTCTAGGGGGTCAGAGACTACAACCTCATCAAGGAAAAAGATCTTGGGGTGAGTATAACACCAGGCACATCTCCTGAAGCGCACATCAACCAAATAACTGCTGCAGCATATGGGCGCTAGCAAACTCAGAACTGCATTCGACATCTTAATAAGGAATATTCAGGACCCTGTACACCGTGTATGTTAGGCCCATATTGGAGTATGCGGCACAGTTTGGAACCCACACCTAGCCAAGCCGTGAAGAAACTAGAGAAAGTGCAAAGGTTTGCAACAAGGACTAGTCCAGAGCTAAGAGGTATGTCCTACGAGGAGAGGGTTAGGGAAATCAACCTGACGACACTGGAGGACAGGAGAGATAGGGGGGACATGATAACGACATTACAAAATACTGAGAGGAATTGACAAGGTGGACAAAGACAGGATGTTCAGAGATTGGACACAGTAACAAGGGGACACAGTTGGAAGCTGAAGACACAGATGAATCACAGGGATGTTAGGAAGTATTTCTTCAGCCAAGATGTAGTCAGTAAGTGGAATAGTTTGGGAAGCGATGTGTAGTGGAGGCAGGATCCATACATAGCTTTAAGCAGAGGTATGATAAAGCTCACGGCTCAGGGAGAGTGACTAGTAGCGATCAGTGAAGAGGCGGGGCAGGAGCTCGGACTCGACCCCGCAACCTCAACTAGGTGAGTACAAACTAGGTGAGTATACACACACACACACACACACACACCACACACACACACACACACACACACACACACACACACACACACACACACACACACACCACACAGGAACAAGCACTTGTAAGCTGTAGTACACATGCAAACACACACATACACAGGATTTCACACCGTCCTGTGAACTGACCATCTGAACCTTGCTCCTCTCCCCCCTCTTCCTATCTAGGTAGAGACCTATCTCTACCTTTCTCACTCTTTACGTTATCTCTCTCTACCTATCACTCTCTACCTATCTCTCTCTCTCTCTCTTCCCTCTCCCATCTCTCCCCTCTAACATCTCTTACCTCTAACACCTCCCCCCTCTAACATCTCTCCCCCTCTAACATCTCTCCCCTCCCATTATCTCTCCCTCTCCTTTCCCATCTCTCTCCCCTCCTCCCCTCCCTCTCCCCTAGCCTCTCTCCCTCTCGCTCTTCCATCTCCCCCCTCTTTCCCTTCTCCCCCTCTCCCCCTCTCTCTCCCCCTCTCTGCCTTCTCTCTCTCTCTCTCTCTCTCTCTCTCTCTCTCTCCTCTCTCTCTCTCTCTCTCTCTCTCTTGCTCTCTCTCTTCCCCATTTTCCCTTCTAATCTCCCCTCTCCTACCTTCCCCTCACTCTCTCTCCCCTCTCTCACTCCCACTCTCTTCCCTTTTTCCTTCTCACTATCCCCTCTCTCTACCTTCCCTTCTCTCTCTCTCTCTCTCTCTCTCTCTCACTCTCTCTCTCCATCTCTTCTCCATTTTTCCCTTCTCACTCTCCCCTCTCCTTCCCTTCCCTTCTCTCTTTCCCCTCTCACACTCTCTCCCCTTTCCTTCTCACTCTTTCTCTCTCTCCTTTACCTTTCCCTTCTCTCTTCTCTCACAAAAAAAAAAAAAAAAAAAATGGTGGGGACTCGCAGGAACCAAGGATCAGATGAGAATGGTTCTGGTAGGGAGAAGTGGATGGAGGAGCAGTGGAAAAGGATGGAACAAGAGTGGGAGAGAAAATTAGGAGAGCTTTCTGAAAAAATGGAGAAAGAGTTCTCTGTGAAATTGGAAAAGAGGTTGGAGAAGGAGACAAAGAATTGGGAGGCACAAGTCGAAACTGAAGTAGCCAAGATAAGGGTCTAGAAGTTGAGATAACAGGCTGAAGCAAGTTACAGGGGCAGTGACCAGAGAAGACACAGCATATGAAGCTGCGAGGCCGAACAGGAAGGAAGGAATTATGAATTATGCTAAGGTCATATCAGCCTGCCAAGGAGGACCAAGGAGTGAAAGGGAAGAACAGATGGTTGCAGATGGGAGAGGGTGATAGGTCGAATGCTGAGGCACAACCAGGCTATCAAGAGCCACTAAAAAAAATCAAGGGAGAGAAACTGACCACATACAGGCAGGATCCAGAGTCACAGGGGGTGAGGCAATGGGAGGAAGAAAGGGCAAAATCAGTGTTTATCCATGGGCTTCAGGAGAAAAGGAGGAAAGGACACACACTGAAAGGCGCAGGAAGAAAGAAAGGAGATTGAAAAAATTTCATCCCGGAAATAGGTAAAGGGAGATGGACGAGATTGTAAATTTTCAGAGAATTGGGGGGTACTCAAAGGGGAGGAAACCGACCAATAAAGCTGATTCTCAGGCGGAAACAGTGCGGAACAGGACCCTCCAAGAAAAACCACGATTGAAATACTTGGAAGAGTAAAAGAGGGTGTTCCTAGACAGAGACAGAAAAAAATCAGAATGACAGCAGCTGAGGGAGAGGACAAAAAAGGAAAGGAGCTGGGAAAAAGAGACAAGGATGGAACCAGC